ATTTAAATTAATATTTAAAGAATTTAAAATTACATTGTCTCATGTTGAAAAATTGCTTAAGTTTTTAGGTATTTGTACCATGTATATAAACTATATCGATTTCTAATGATCATTGATTCCCTTATATAACACCATTTAATATCTTTCAGTCTAAAGTTATTTAATATGAGTAATTTTGCATTATTAAGTGATTAATCAATAAGAATAAATAAACGAATCACTATAATTTAGGAACATAGGAAATGAATTAATAAATGGGTGATTAGATAGACCGGTAAATTTTCAATACGGCTATAAATCTGTGGAGTTCCTTTGTCTTCTCGACTGGGTTCAAAACTGCAAGGCTACGGAGTTGAACATTAGTAGTCGTAAGCTCATAAAATTGGGTTGGCTGTTCAACGACAGTTATGAAAAATAATTAAATCTAATCTTTTTTCTAATCATATCGCATGAAAACTATAATTTAATCGTTGAAAGAGCAGTCAATGAATTTATTTTTCAAAATATATTGAAAAAACTGGATCATCCACAAAAAAATTCAATTTTAGGTTTAAATTCCTTATTGCTCAATATATCATTATCATAGTTGGCCAGACAGCCCAATGTGAGCCAATGCCTTCCTCTGAAGATTTCTCCATGTGGACTTCTGATTCACCTTTGACCTTTCATTAATTTTTGTAACACTTTTTCAGAATTGTAATCATTCATAATTTCACTAATTCATAATTTCATTTTTTTATTAATGTAACACTTTTTCATTAATTGCGAGAAAATCAGACTCCACTGAGTCAGCCCATCTCAACCGCGGCCTTCCCCGTTTTCTTGTTCCAGTGGGTCTAAAAAGCAGTATCTTTTTTATTGTATTGTCATCACTCATTCAAATCACGTGGGCCATCCAATTCATTCTATTTATTTTTACGTTTTTAATAATATCAGGTTGTTTATAAATCTTGTACAGTTCAAAGTTGAATCTCAGTCTCCAGTTATTATTTTCATTTACACCACCAAGCATACTCCGCAAAATCTTGCTTTCATATGTTGCGATACAATTTTCCTCCAGTATTGTCATTGTCCAAGCCTCAGAAGCGTATGTCAAGACTGGCCAGACAAGAGATTTGTAGATTAAGAACTTTGTTTCTCTAGAAAGAAACCTAGATTTAATAAATCTTTTCAGACAAGACAGCCCTATTTGCTCTATTTATTTTTCAAAATATATTGAAAAAACTTGATCATCCATAAAAAAAATGCAATTTTAGGTTTAAATTGCTCAATATATCATAAATATTAATTAAATACTGATTTTCGTTTGAATTTCTAAATCAGAAACTAAATTGTTCTTACTCAAACATGATATAAAAAAACAAGTTCAGAGCTTCTTATAAAGTATATTTAGTTAATTAAGAGATCTGCTGAAATTTTCTTAATAGTGTTCCTCCTAAATACTTTGTTAGCCAACTCAATGCACGTTGTTAAAATATCTTATTTTACAATTTTTATATATTAATATGATTTTACTTCAATTTTTTTTAATATATCTCAAAAAATTCGAAAATCTGTCCAAAAATATCCATTTGTTTATATTTAGTTTTTTAACTTCTGGTTCATTCTTTTAACACTGATTTTCATTGCTTTTAAAGCTTACCTTTACTGTTTTAAATTGAATCTATACAATAGGTTATCAAAGCGGATTCTGTAAGAAAGTTTTTGAAAGAAACCTCTTATAATTAGCCCGATGGTATTTAGACCGTAATCTATTTGTCCATCTGTTGTTGGAAATATGTTGTGTTGGAAATAGTTTCTGGATTAACGCTCGTTCAGAGCAGAACAATAACATAATTGATGACTGAATAAGGAATTCAAAATAAAAACCATTTTCTTAGTTTATCTGAGAATTTTTGGCAGCCATACAGCCTCTGTTCAGTTAGACTGTGATTGATCGCATTAAATTTGTTCCTGTATTTTTTAAAAATACCTTTTTAAAATACCGCGTAGTCTGTGTGTATGACAGGAGTCCACAGTTGCAGGTGTGTATATTAGAAACACACAGTTGAATTAATGTAAAAGCAATTTTTGTTCATGGTTCTTGTTATTAGAATATTTAAGAGTTTCATTGGTTTTGATACTTTAAGCATTCCCCTCTCTTCATTTGCTACTTTGCAGTTGAAAACAATTTCAGGTATTAACATGTTACAAGTTTCATTAATAAAAAGTTAAACAGACTACTCAACTAACTGTTTTAAAAAAATGCCAAGCATAAACACATTGAAATAAAGAACCAGAAATTATGAAAGCAAGGATCCCAAATTTTATGTGAATGATGCTGACAATGTAGTATGCATTGCGCACCGACCGCCTTTACTTCCCAAACAAGTTTGTTTCCACTGATCTGAATCTGGGTGAGCTTCAGTCCGTTACCGAGTCAGTTTAACATAAGTAAAATTATGAAGAAAAAAAATTAAAAAAGATAGATTATTTGAGAACTGAAGAGAAGTATTTTAAATTTCAGCAACATATATTTTTTTAAAGCTATAAAGTCGAGTTTATTTTTCCATATGGTTATTAATTTTCATTCGAGTTGCCATATTTCTAGCACAAAAAAGGTGTAAAAAAATTCAGCATCTAAACACGAAATATATTTATTTTCTTGCAATAAAATTAATATAATTGTAAAACACGCAGTATAAAAATCTCATAACTAAATGTTTTAAAATTTAAATGACTTGGAATAGCGTAACTCTGCAAAAATACATGCTATGCGACAAGGTCCTTGACTTGAAGGTCCTTCATTTGCTGTGCAAAGTGTGTATGTTGTTTATAGAAGTCCTCGCTTACCTTGCAAAATTGCACACTTCGAAAAAATAAAAATATTTTAAATTTGAGCATTAAACTATTGTCTACCATGTATTAGAATATATATACCCAAATTTTATCAAAATACATCCATTATTAACGGAGGTTGCGGGTAACAGCTCACACGACCCCGGCTGAAGGTTTTTGCGTACCTGGCTGTGTGTATGAATGCCTGTGTAAAGTAGTTCAATAACTGAATTCTATAATCTAAACTATACAGTTTAATGTAAATGTTTACTTCAGGCGAAAAAAATGTTTCGCTTCAAAAAAATTTTCATTTGTTTTCATAATTAGTGTCTGGAAAAAGATTGCTTACTACATTTCATTATTAAGGGTTAAGAAATTTTAAACTTTTATCTAACAGAAAAGTAAATTACATATTCGTTTTATATTGATATTAAAAAAAGTTTATAGTTTCCCAGCATCACCTGTTTCATTCACACAGCTCTAAGACTAGTCCTGTGGTTTTTAAAAATAAATATTATATTCTTTTAGGGGTATTCTCTTTTTATTGTTATTATTATATTGCTATTTCTAATGTCTCATTATATCATTACTTGTTATAACAATGTATGCGATTCCGGAAAATTTATTTTTATTTACAAACATCTATTACATACATCTTGATTAAAAATAAATCTCTTTTCAAATTTAAAGAAAAAAAGGTAATCCTTATTTTTTCAATTTTAACAAGCAGCTTACACTTCTTTATAGGCTTCTACAACCGCCACCATCTTGGAGTTTAAGTTAAATTTTTTATTTCAGTTTTTTGTTGCACAAATTCTTGACAAAACAATATCTTCAAGAAAAAAGGTGGAAAATAAAAAGGTCTCTTTATCGGTTTGGGAGAAATAGCGCTTAATAATTTTCAGAACACCTATGGATTTTTTCTCATAACTATGAAGCAACAAAAATATGCGATTTGAGGCTGTTAGTCAGTATTTTAAAATAACACATTTGTCTTTTTCTTAGATTTTCTTAAAAATTTTTTTTACAGTTTAAAATAATGAAAACTGATTTAGATTATGTTTTAAAAAAATCTTATGACAGAAATTGGAAAAAACAGATGTACACATCAAGCATATAAAAACAGAAACATATTCTGTTTAATAACCTATCAAAAATGACTGATTTCAGAGCTGTATTGGTGTAATTTTGTCAGATAAAAAAAGAGCATTTAAATTACCACCAGTCTCATATTTCAAATTATAATAGGGGGACGGTTTAGTATCTTACAAGTATCGAGAGATACTGCAAAATAGAATAAATACCCATCAGATTGTTTGCAAAAATTAATTAAAGAAAATTAAAAGCATATACAAGAGGTGGGATGGAGAAAGGCCTCTTAAGAGAAATACACATCTGTGTAAAATTCGCATTGAAATGAAAGTAAGCTTAAATAGAATTGAATGGTTGAAAGAATTGGATATGGGAAAAAATTGCTGCTTCCTGGGAAAAATGCTCCCTATTAAAGTTTTAGTTCATTTACTTTTAAAGTAATAAAATATTATAGCTCATGTGAATTCGTTTCAAACAGTTAAACCCCTTTTCTAAATTAGGCTATAATATTGAGTTATCATATTCATACCTTTTGGTCATTTTATCGGAAATCGGCTAAAACTTGCTTAAGGCATTCATTCGTTTAATAGTTGGGCAAAGCAGAAATTTTTGATGTTTTAAGGTGGGGATGACGATTTACTACAATCTTTGCTGAAATTTAACACCTATTTTGTTGCTTCTAAGACAATTGTTGTTTGTTATGAAAATTGATTTCTATTAATTAGCATAGAATGTTCTCTAATTTGACGAAAGCTATTTTCAAAATATTGATTCGAATTATTTTTAGCTAATATTTCTGGCTATATCACTTGAGAAATCAGATCATAAAATCAGATCAATTTTCTTTATGGTTTTTTTATTACTTTTTGAAGAAAATTTGGTCAAATTCTCTTTAAATCAATGAAATTACAAGAAGATTGTGTTCAGTTGTTTGAGAGGATATGTTTCTTGTGTGCTGAAATTTGCAGTTCTGAGGAAATAAAAGCCAGCAAAAGAAACTGATCGCAACGCTGGGCTCCAAGTGTTTTCAAACAAAAATTCTACTGCAACTAGAAATTGTAATTTATGGAAAAAGAGAGTAAAATTCTTACCAGAACTATGTAGCACCATATTATGCAGCACAATCAATGTCTTAACTTCTTTCCGATCTAAAGAATAGCGGCAACAGATTGTCCTGCAAAAATTGCGGAGAAAACAATAAATATAAACAAAAGTTCTAATAAGCAATTTAAATAATAAAAATTTATGAATGAATTCACAACACATTTAATTTACAAAATGAATGTGTTGATGGTGCAAAAGACAATTGGAAGGGCGAAAAGCAAATGAGTAGAGGTGTCTTAAGTTTTTAAAACGTTTGGAGAAGACTTTCTTGATTGGTTCTTTATTATAAACACTGAATTGAAGAATAAATTTAAAAAATATTAAGCAAACGTATTATTTTTAGTTTTTTTTCCATCAGAATGTATGCATACGACTTGTTATTAAAGGTAGGCATGTAAAGACAAGCTGACATACCGAATTCTGTGTTCCCAAATGAAGTTCCGTGGAACCCTAGAGTTCCATGAAAAAGTTAAAGAAATCTAAGACTTATGACTTTTTTTAAAGTTTTTTTTAAACATTTTTGAAACCTACAATTATATTCAAATCCAATCACTAAATCATTATTTACTTAATATTTTGGATATTTTTAAGAAATAATTTTAAGTGGAATTAATGAATTAAATTAAAGCCAAAAAAGGAAGAGAAATGGATAAATAATTTTTTTTCCAGTAATGTATTGAATAAATTGTTGAAAAGACACGCACTTTAATGAAATTGCTTTAGTATTTTCACATCGCGATCTTCACATCAAAATGAAATAACTAAATTCGTTAGTAAAGAAATGTGCTTCCCTAAAAGTCATTTTCAACATTCATATCAGTTCTTTATAGCTCTCATTTCAACAAAAAATAAACTTCGGCTTATTTCATTCATTTTTAGCTTATGTATACAGATTGAAAAAAAAACTTAACTTCAGCTCAAGGACTGCGAATTTAACTTTCGGACATCAAACCTAATTAAGGATATTGTCAGTCGTAACCTTTTACAAAGAAATAACGCAAAATTCTACAAAAACTAATTCACCATTTTATTATTCTTTTTCATCCATTGTTTCAAAAACCAAAACAAATAGAAAAATCATATCTATAATATCAAGCTTTTAGCTCGCAACATCAGAAAATGCGTGTTATTACATCACGTGACCCTGACAGATATGAAATCGCATTTTTCAATTTCTAAAATATGAAAATAATTCATTCCTCTTTTAAAATATTTGGAAATAAAATAGTCCTTTATTGGTTAATAAATTTATGATTGTCTTTCAATAGTTTTAAATAATTTGTCTTCTCTTTGTGTTTATATTCACAACTGCTTTTGAACTTAATTTTATTTTCATTTCATAACTGTCGTTGCACAGTTGACCTAATTTCTTTGAGCTTACGACTACTAATACTCCGTAGCCTTGTAATTTTGAACAAATTCAGAAGATAAAAGAACTTCTGGATCAAGTATTGGGTGAAATTTGCCATCGTGGAGAACTTTTTGGTGGAACTAACACGCGTTTGCGTTCCATGGAGAGGAGGACCACGAGGACTTCTCACGGTTAGCCTGACTTCAAAGGGAACTCTAACCCATGATCCGTCTACCACTGCAAATATTTCACGTCAGTACTGTGGTCGGTGCGAGCCGGGTGCGGAATTCGAATAGACCAGCCAAGGCTGGGATTCGAATTTGGCGAAAGAAGTTTGATCATTAAGGGTATCACAGACCAAAAAAATTGGAAACCGCTAGGCTAAAGAATATCGCAGAATAGTTTAAAATGTTACTTCAAATCAAACTCTTATTTAACCAAAATAATTAAATTATCACTGGCTCAGGGGATAGAGAGTTCGCCTTCCAATAAGGTGATCTGGGTTCACATCCCAGCTATGGCTGGTCGATACGAATTCCACATCTCGCTTGCACGGACCACAGTGCTGACGTAAAATGACCACAGTGCTGACGTAAAATATCCTCAGTGGTAGACGGATCATGGGTAAGAGTTACCTTGCCATCAAGCTAACCGTGGGAGGTTTTCGAGGTTTATCTCTCCATGTAACGCAAATGCGGGTTAGTTCCATCAAAAAGACTTCCACGAACAGTACTTGTGATCCAGGTGTTCCCTTATCTTCTGTATTGGGTTTAAAATTAGATGGCTACGGAGTTGAACATTAGCAGTCTTAAACCCGAAAAATTGGGTCAACTGTTCAACGAAATAAAATTAATTTATCGCAAGTTTGATACAAAATGCTTAGGCCTTAACTTTCTAAACGTTTGAGATCATAAAAAATTTCGACAGGCTAACAATTCCTTATTAACGGTTAACGTTTGGAGTAAAATTAAAACACGTGGTTGTTTGGTCAAAAGAGAGTGAAAACTTATTTTTGACCTTATCCAACGACAATATTTATTGTTCAAGCATAAAGCGGTTAAATAATAATAACACCGGCACGCAGCCCTGTACTTTATCTTTTCATATCCAACCAGTTGACCGCTGCCATCAGAAATTTTATTTTGAGGGTAAAATTATAAGGAGGTTAAATTCAAACTTCTGCATTTCTGGATCATGTTTAAGACAGAACTTCTTGCAGTGGCGGATCCAGCCGGGGGCGGGGGTCATGACCCCCCCCNGAAATAAAAAATAAAAAATAAAAATAAAAATAACTTTTTTAATTCTTTAAAAAAGAAAGAAAATATTTTAAAAATTATTTAAGGGGACATATACACCTAGGTATGTCGGAAAAATCGATTTTTTTCCATCTAATTATGTTCTTCACTGTTTCAAGAAGCATAATCCAAAAGATTAATTAGATAAAGATAAGAAATTCGTCATAGTTTCATTGTAAACATTATTTAAAGATGTTGAATACTTGAATTATTTATGTATTGTTCATTATGAAAAAAATAAATGAGAAGACTAACATTAAAAACCTCTTTTTTTTTCAAAAAAAATATTTAAAAAAATTTTTTTTTATAAAAAAAAAAATTTTCTTGCGGGAGGAGGGGGCCCTCCCCAGGAATAATTTCTGGATCCGCCCCTGACTTCTTGTCACATGAGCAAGCGATTTTTTACAATGCGCCTACTTTTGAAGAAAAAAAAGCAATCTTGTGTTTCGTAGGACACAACTCAGCTAAAATTTGTTTAGATTATACCCGTTTTTTAAGTGTGAAACGCTGACAAAAATTCTTGTCGCAGAGGTATGACAAAATATGCAAAGAGTGAAATTATCAATCTTCTTCAAAATTGTAAATCCAATTACGTCATAAAAGTGCTTATTTTTTATAGAAGAAAATTGTACAGAGGGTTGTAAGGTATTCATTTTTAGGGTTAATTGAAGTTGTTTATTAACTGTATCGTGAAAGGTGTGTTCAGGTTTTAAATTTAACTGCAGGATATGAAATAATTTGACAAAATAGATTTAAATCAAACTTTACTTACAGCATAAGCAGAAATAATCATTCTTTAGTGTCTAGACTCATATTAGGCGGTTCAAAACAAATCATTCTGGAATTCATCTCAGATATGCAGATTCCACATAACCAACTAAATCCCACTTTGTCAGGTTGTTCCCTATTTATCAGACTATTTATGAGCAGAAACATATCCTACAAAGCTAAATTACAATACATTATAATGAACTAGAGACAGCATTAATATCAAACAATTTAAAGTCCCAAGAAACCTAAAAATTAAAAAAATCTGAAAAAATTAATAAAATCTGAAAAGAAATTAAGTTAACGACATTAAAAGCACACAGTACAAGGAAAACGACTTAACAATCACTAAACTAATAAACACAGAGATAAAAAAAACATGGGGTGAGAAACTAATTTACATCAGATCAAACCAAGAAAAAAAAATCTGATTAGCAGAACATTTAAAAAAATTCCTCGAAATATCTATCAAACACATTAAAAACACTTTGAGAAAGAAATTGTAAAAAATAAATTAATAAATAAAAAGTTTGAAAAAAATTATAAAAATATACATAATTGACAAAATGGATTAAAATCAAACTTTACTTACAGAATAAGCAGAAATCATCAATTCCTTAGAATCTAAACTCATATTAGGAGGTTCAAAATCATTCTGGAATTAATATCAGTCACACAGATTCCAAATAACAAACTAGATCCCATTTTGTCAGGTTGTTCCCTATTTATCAGACTATTTATGAGCTGAAACATATCCTACAAAGCTAAATTACATTACATTATAATAAACTAGAGACAACATTGATATCAAATAATTTAAAGTCCCAAAAAAACCTAAAAATTAAAAAAATCCGAAAAAATTTATAAAATCTGAAAAGAAATTAAGTTAACGACATTAAAAGCACACAGTACAATGAAAACGACTTAGCAATCACTAAACTAATAAACACAGAGATAAAAGAAACATGGGGTGAGAAACTAATTTACATCAGATCAAACCAAGAAAAAAAATCTGAATAGAAAAAAATTCCTTAAAATATCTATCAAGCACATTAAAAACACTATGAGAAAGAAATTGTAAAAAATAAATAAATAAATAAAAAGGTTGAAAAAAAAGTATAAAAATATACAGACTTTTTTATTAAATAATGGAAAATATTATAAAAGTGAACCCAGTGAAAGATGAAAATCAAACATAAACAAGATAATACAAACAAAAAGAAACAAAAACAACGAACACAAATTTCAATTGATGCACAGAACCATTAAAAATATAATTCTACCATTAAAAACAAAAACAAGATCACACACACTGGAAAGAAATAAAAGAAACCTTAGGAAAAAGTGGTATACCAATTAGAAAAACAAAACACCCTTTCATAAAGATGGAAAAATTGGATTAAAGATTTGGATCAATTGGATTGGAGAATCATGATTCGGAAAGTAAAATGAAAAAAAGAAACATAACTCGAACAAACAGAGATATAATAATAATACAAAAATTAATAGATATAATAATTAGAATTTGAAAACGGAAATAAAATAAAATGAAATTCGTCGCTCGTAATTCGAAAAAAAAAGAAAAAGGAAATACGTCGAAAACCCAATGAAAAAAAATTAGAAAAGCGTTCGATGTCGAATGTTGTTAAAACGGAACGAACAAAATTCGTCGCATGTAAAAGCGGGCAAATCTCGAGTGTATGTTGCGAGCTGCACGCTGGAACGAAAATGTGCTAGTCGTCGGAAAAAAGAAAACCCCGAAATAAATTTATTCTGTTTCATACCCAAAGAAAAGAATGCATTAAAGCCACTTTACCTCATTCCAGCAATAAATGAGCGTTTACTTCCAGTATCGCACCAAGCATAACTTAGATAAGTAAATGTCTTACCTTACAAGTGTGAACTTACCTATCAACATAAGTACAAAAAGAACGCCCTTCAAAAAGTCTTATTCAAGTTAAATTAAAACTTACCAATACTTTTTAGTTACTTTATATTGATTCATTTCATGAATGTTAGACACATAACTGCTGAAGTTTAGCTTCTGATTCTAGTTAGGAAAAATGAAGAAAATTAAATTCTATTCATAATGACAAATCGTAATATTGAACTGCTTACATTTATTAATACTCATTCATTTAAGAAAAATAGTTTGTTCCTTATGCATAGCAATTTATTTAAACAAGATATATTTAAACATTGAAAGTAAAAAAACACATTTACAGCAACGATTGTTTTGAAAAATACTTTGAAATGTGTAGTCTATTGTGATGTATTACAGCAGTCGTGAAACTTCTCAGCACCTTTGTTATCATTTGTAGACTTAATAAAGTTCAAAATAAAACATTGAAATAATCTTTCATAGTCTTGAATTTTAATTATTTAATGTATTCATAGAAATCAAATAGCTTATATAAAATTGTATTCACATAGCATAGCTACCAACATAGTTTCAAAGAAGAAAGTAAAAAAAAAACCATCTTGTAGTTAAAAATATAACTTAAGAGGGAGATGTATATTTAAAACCATTTACATTCAGGTACTACAGCAAATCATTTAGTCAAGTCTATTTGTTTTAGTAAAATGTTGCTTAAACAGGATTGATTAACAAAGGGAGGGTTCGATTTGGGAAATTCACAATGTGATGAAACGTGGTTTAATAGAAGCATAGCTTGAGGGTGCTCACCTCTTAAAATTACCTCCAAAGAAAAGAATTTTAAAATGTAAACATTCCTTATATAATGGTCAAATCTCCTATAGCCCTTAAGGGCATTTTTCAAAGTAATGTTAAGTTAAAACATACTAGGAAATAATTTAGAAAAATAATTTAGCTTATTACCTAAAATTAATTTAATCTTTAAGACCATTTTTTTTGGAGGGGGAACGGGGTTTTTAAAATTTTACCAATTTTTATTTAATTTTATAACAGTTGTTGACCCACTTTTTGGGATTACGACTACTAATGTTCAATTCCGTGTCATTTTGAATCCAATCAGGAAAACAAGGAAATTCCTGAATCAAGTATTAGGAAAAATTTTGCCTTGGTGGAGGACATTTTTTGATGGAACTAACCCGCATTTGCGTTACATGATGAGGAAGACCACGANTTTTGAATCCAATCAGGAAAACAAGGAAATTCCTGAATCAAGTATTAGGAAAAATTTTGCCTTCGTGGAGGACATTTTTTGATGGAACTAACCCGCATTTGCGTTACATGATGAGGAAGACCACGAGAACCTGTCACGGTTAGTCTAACGGCAAAGGGACTCTAACCCCATAATCCGTGTACCACTGAAGATATTTCATGTCAGCACTGTGGTCGGTGCAAGCCGGATGCGGATTCGTATCTACCAGCCTTCGCATGGATTCGAACCCAGTTCACCTCTTTAGAAGGCGAACGTGCTCAATCCCCTTAGCTGTCGCGGCTCAAAAATTTTACCTATTGTAAAAAAAAATTATTATAAATTGGAATGCTTGCTATTATAAATACAAAAAGAGCTGCATGAAAAATAATGAAATTAGATTTATGTAACCTAACTCTTCATTGTTTTTTCTTCTCTTGTATTTTTTGTGGTTATAAGCTAAATATAAAATAACAGGCGGGAAATAACTGCACAAATAACAGACGGGAAAAAAGATTCTCATCGACATTGAAAAACTTCATAAAGTAGGTGAGAATAATAGAAAGCCTTAAGTACAAAGGCCTTATAAGGGTTAAAAAAAAACTTCACTTATTAGGAAATCTCACCCCAATTTGATATTTAGACAAGATAAAATAGATTTTATATTTAGATGAAAACAAGTTTTGATATTTAAAATTATAATTTGATTAAACATCTCTTTAAAGAAATAATAATAATAATGAGTTTTAATAACTTTGGGGCGAATAGCGTCAAAACAATTGAAGATCAACGGGTGAGAACTGTTTAGGACCATTTTTCGCCAAACTGTTTGGATGCCCATTTTTCGCAAAACTGATTGGATTTCCGTTCGTTGCATTTTAAGAATCTGTTCTCCCAGAGAGTTATTATGCAGTGGAGATAGACAGTGCAGTTCACAAGCGGCTATAGTCCATGCGATTTCGATTTTTTGTCTGAATCAGCTCTTATGGACGTTAGCAGTTCTTTTCCTTTGATCTTCAAGTGTCAAAAGTAAATTCAACAACTTGTTAAATCGAAGTTTGAGTTATTAATTTATATTGTTTTTAAATAAAATAATTAAGTAATAAAATAAATAAAATTTTAAATAAAATAATAAATTTAAACAATAGATCTAAATCATAAGATATGTTTCTGTGTACTCAATAACAACAAGTCTGCTATAAGTTTCGAAGTAACCAACGAAAAAGTTAATATTAAAAGGTACAAAAAATGGACATTTATAAAACAATTAAAAAGATTCCACCATTTCTTCCGTTATTGCAACAGAAAAAAGGAGGGGAAAAAAGAAAAATTCATTTTAGCAGCTGATTTAGTGAGCAATGAAAAAGGGCAAGAATGAAGGCATTTTTATTTATATCTGGAATTCGAGCAGAAAAGGAAAAATCTAACACCACTTCAGCTCATTTTTTTCTTACAATCTTAACCTTTTAAGCCGCGTTGGCTCAGGGCATATAGAGTTCGCTGTCCAATGAGGTGAATCGGGTTCGAATCCCTGCAATGGCTGCTCGCTACGAATTAAACAGTCGGCTATCGCGAACCACAGTGCTTACGTAAATTATCCTCAGTGATAGAAAGTGATAATTTAAAGTCCTATTGCCGCCAGTACAACAGCGGGAGGTTTTCGTGGTTTTCCTATCCATGTAATGCAAATGCGGCTTAGCTCCATCAAAAAGACCACCACGAAAGCCAACTTTCTCCCAATACTTGATTCTAGAGATTTCTTTTCTTCTGGATTGGATTCAAAATGACATGACTGCAGAGTTGAACATAGGTAGTCGTCAACTCAAAATTAGATCTGTTCAAAGACCAATATTAAATAAACTCTTAGCCCTTTAAATTTACAAAGCAAATACGAGAGCTATCAACGGCTAACTTATTTTCCTTCTTGAAAAAGAGAAAAGAAAGGCAACAAACTAATGCTCTTTTTGTTGACCACCTATATCATTTAACTTCGCTGTTTACTATGGAATGCAAAATGCAGTGCTCATAATAACGTCACACTATCACACTCTAATCTTTGTTATCATTTTAACATTAAATTNTAATGAAATTAGATTTATGTAACATAACTCTTCATTGTTTTTTCTTCTCTTGTATTTTTTGTGGTTCAATGGTTGCATAAATAACAGGCTGGAAAATAGATTCTCATCGACATTGAAAAACTTCATAAAGTAGGTGAGAATAATACTTACGAAGGCCTTATAAAGGCTAAAAAAAAACTTCACTTATTAGGAAATCTCACCCCAATTTGATATTTAGACAAGATATAATAGATTTTATATTTAGATGAGAACAAGTTTTGAAATTTAAAATTGTAATTTGGTTAAACATCTCTTTAATGAAATAATAATAATAAAGAGTTTTAATAACTTTGGGGAGAATAATGTCAAAACAATTGTAGATCAACGGGTGAGAACTGTATAGGTCCATTTTTCGCCAAACCGTTTGGATGTCCATTTTTCGCAAAACTGATTGGATTTCCGTTCGTTGCATTTTAAGAATCTGTTCTCTCAGAGAGTTATTATGCAGTGAAGATAGGCAGTGCAGTTCACAAGCGGCTATAGTCCATGCGATTTCATTTTTTTGTCTGAATCAGCTCTTATGGACATTAACAGTTCTTTCCCTTTGATCTTCAAGTGTCAAAAGTAAAATCAACAACTTTATAAATTTGAGTTATTAATTTATATTGTTTTTAAATAAAATAATGAAGACATCAATTTTAAACAATAGATCTAAATCATAAGATACGTTTCTGTGTACTCCAATAACAACAAGTCTGCTATAAGTTTCGAAGTAACAAACGAAAAGTTAATATCAAAAGGTACAAAAAATGGACATTTATAAAACAATTAAAAAGATTCCACCATTCCTTCCGTTATTGCAACAAAAAAAGGGGAAAAAAGAGAGGAAAGTTCAGTTTAGCAGCTGATTCAGTGAGCAATGAAAAAGGGCAGGAATGAAGACATTTTTATTTATATCTGGAATTCGAGCAGAAAAGGAAAAATCTAACACCACTTCAGCTCATTTCTTTCTTACAATCTTAACCTTTCAA